TGTTAAGCTCTTTGATCAAAGAAACGCCATCAATAACCGTTGTGGATGCACATTTGCTGTCAAATATAGGTGATATAATTTCACTTAAAAATTTTGAAATATTTGTTGTTGGAGCATGAATTGTATTTTCAATCGGTCGGACGGGTATATCTTCCTAAATTCCAATAGATAGAATAGAAGATAGCTTTGATTTAAAAGAATTAAACAAAAACTTCCATCTTACCTTATGTGTTTTAGGATTGAAATATAGATGAGCTAATTCCGATTTTGTTCGATCAGGCATCATTTTATTGTACTGCCATTGCAATATAAGTTTCTTCTCACGTAGTCGATTGAGTGATTGAATGACTTTATCTTGAATTTCTTTCAATGGATTGACTGATAATTCCATGAAGGCATTGGTATCTTCGAAAAATTTTTGTGCTTTTTTTTCAAATTCAGTTTCTGAACCAATATAAAAATTATGACCCTTATCAGTTATGCGAAGTATAAGATTGTGCTTTTTAAGTATTTTTCGAATGTATGCAGTTGTTTTTGCTTGTTCTATCGCTCGAAGTTGATCTTTATACGATAACGGAGTAAAATAAGAATTATTAAAATATTCAAGAAGATGATTAGAATATTGTTTGAGAATCAATGATTTTAACGGTACATTGTATGGGTGTGAGCTAAGTCGCTGTGCAATTTTATCATAAATATTTTTATGTTCTTTTGTGACTGTGCTCTCTTGTTGATCTCTTAGACGAATGGCACTTTGATTTAAACGTATATAAGATGGCCCTAAAGTAATAGAAAAAAAAAGGACAAGAGAATGGATTAGAATTTCTGTTTAAAACATTCTCTTACCAAGTGAGAGATAAAGCCATTGACGTTTATTGAAAGGCTTAAAAGTTAAATCAAGATATGGTTCAGGAGAAACACCAATCATATTTTTTATTTTAGGGGAGACACGTTGATGATTTTGAAGCAATATTCCTCGAAAAGAGAATATTTTATTGTGAATATTTTGTTTTAATTTATCTGTTTGGTAGGCCATGTAATCATGAATTTTCTTGACAACAGATGAGCTATCGGCAATTCTATTGTTTAGTAATTGAGTTTCTAATTTCCCAATTTCATTTCGATATTGTTGATCAGACTCTTTAAATTTAGCATCATACGCATTTAAAAAACAATTTAACCATTCACGTTTCGCTTCTTGTATAATTTTATAGTGTTGATTTCGGATTTGAATTGATTTTTGGTTATTGTTCAACGGTGAATAACTGATAGGAGCAATATAATCTTCTAAGTGATCAAAGTTTTCTGGTAAAAATTTACATAAAACACGCATTTCTAGCATGAGAAGTTCTTCCCATACACTTCCTTGTTGTTTTCGTATTGCCATTAATTCATTAATAGATTCACTCTTTATAAAAAAAAAAAAGAAAGAAATAAATTCATATATCTGAACATAGTGATTGAATAAAAAAGGATATCAATTACCTGTTCACTTGTAAGACTACATGAAGACAGAGTTCCCAATAAAACTTTTTCATGCATATCGTCTTTGAATTTCTCCAACTGTTTTGTGTTTCTTCCTAGTAAATAGTTTCGTTGACAGTGCACAAATTTTCTAAGACCCTGATCAAGTTGATCCAATGATAACTCTTTATTAAGCCATAATGCCGACTGTTCTATCAATTTTCGTTGACATTCATCCATGTCCTTTTTGATACTTGTTAGATATTTCCCAAGAGACTCTTGACATAATTGGAAGTCCTTTGTCTTTGCCATCATATGCAGTTGTTCCTTTAAGTTTTCATCAAAAACCAATTAAACTATAGGAATGAGTTTTTTTATGAAACTTACTGGCCATTGACCATGCTGTTTACCAATATCTAGATATGATTGCCATAATTGTTGTTCCACTTGTAGGCAATAGTCTTCATCGAATAAATGAAGTCGGTTATATATAAATCGTTGTTCATCGTCTTTTTTAAACGTATAATTTAATGGTTTGCTTATCATTTGAATAAGTATGGATAGTGATCGTTTTAAATAGAGTGGTCGTCTATATATCCAAAAAACAAAGCATATATATAGAGAGAGAGTTATATAAATCGATAAAAAAAAATTAACCGATAATTTCTGTTTGCAGTATTTTTGTTGACTTTCATGGGCGAAACAGTCATTTCCTGTTTCTTTTTCATCTTTTTCATTGGCGGTTGAAAAACAGAGATTGAACTTGTAGATTTTGTTAATCCGTAATTTAGATTTAATTGTTGTAATGATGCTTCTCGTTTGCGTTTTGTTTTATTTATTTTTGACTTTTTCTGTTTCGATGATCGTTTATTTTTGCGAATAGGTACATGCTTCGATGTGGTGGGTTCAACATTATTATCGATTGCGTTTGTTGTCGTATCGTTTCTTAATTTTGTCCTGTTTTTGTTCTTCTTTCTTTGGTTTCGCTTTTTAATTAATTTTTCAATTTTTTCCGATTTTATACCACGTGCACGACATTTCCTTCTGAAACGTTGATCACATCGATTTCCATGACATTTTTTCTTTGTTTGTACTTCATTTGGCAGTTGACGATCCACTTCTATGTGACTATCGTCGACATCCATACTTGAAATAGTCCTAGATAACTAGATTTAAATATGTATCTGAAATGGACAAAAAAAACAAAACAACAATATTATATGACGAATAGTGAATAAGCTAATGATAGAAAAGATTGACACGTAAACAAATGAAGAGAAGTCTTTTATTGATTGAAAATTATTATAAATTCTATGTTGCAGGAATCGATTGAGTTTTAAATTTATATATAGATTTAATTCGTTCGCTAATTTTATTACAACGTTCACTGAGAAGATTCAACATTATTGAAGACAGCTTTTTATTCTCAATAGGGCCACGTTGATCAGACCAGAGTTTCTTGATATCAGCATTATGTTTTCTTTTAAATTCGTCTTTTTGTTCTTTAGCAGTTTTCAAGTACAAAGCGAACAATTGTGCTCGGGCTTGCTCGGCGATTTCTTTATATTGATCGAATATTTGTTTTCTAATCGTTGGATTTTCAATAGAATTAATTAATGTTGACTCAGCTATAGGTGAATATTTAAAACCTTGACTGGGTGAATTATAATAATCCATTTGTTTGCGTAGAAAATCAAATTCCTGTTGTGCGGTTTCTTCTTCATACTTACTATGACAAAGTTGTTTCATTTTTAATTCCTTGAGTAGATTAAAACAATGAGGCATGAAACAATCATTTATTTCTCAAAACAAAAACAAAAACAAAAACAAAAAAGAAACATACTTGAGTCGGAGTTGGTTTTTGGCGTAGATATTCTATTTTCAATGCTTGAATTTGATAATCATACTGAAGAATTTCTATTTTATGATCAATTTCCAAATTTAAAGAAGATAGATTTTCTGTAATATATTTTTCCAATATTTCTCCTAATACTGGTGTATAATATTTGCAGTTGTTTGTATTGATATTCAACTCAATTTGATATTGTTTTAATTGTTTACTAAGTTCATGTATATAATCCTTGACAAAACACATACAAATATCGTTTTCATTCGTCTTATTCGTCTTGCTTGATTTTACAATGGTTTTAATTTTTTTTGGCCAAATTCGTAAATCAGTTGGATAAATCAGCGATTGTTGAGAAAATTGATTTATTAATCGTCCCATACCTGATTTTAAATAAACTGTCCATAAACGTAGATATATTTGAATGAGTATTGTTTTATAGATTAGAATGGCAATTTTTCGTAATTCATCTCTTTCAAAATTCAATGTTTCTATTGTCAGCGTTGATAATGCTTGATCTAATAATTGTTCAAATGATTTATTCTGTTTCGTTAAATAATTTGGAATTTTCTCCACTATATTTTTGATATCTTTGACAATAAATTCCGTTTCATTTGTCGCAGTTGCCGATAATTGACTCATCCTTTGTGACAAAATATGTTCTTCCATAAGCTAAAGTATCATAAACAACTGAATACATAGTTTTTCAACGATATAATATTATTTACTTGTTTGTCATGAGCAACTTCGTTGTGATGAATAGTTTCAATTGAATCATCGTGATGTTTTGACATGATTGATATTGGAAAACTGTTTTATCTAAAATCGGTAATTATTAGTGAAAAAATACAAAATGTAGCTAGAGTCGTGTAAAGTTGACATGTAACCCTTGTTATTTCACTTCTCACATGAAACAAAAACCATTCTTAAGTATGTAATTCAATAGGAGTTTTGTAAATAACAGAAATTGTTCTTATGAACCATCTCTATCTGTTCTGCTATAAATGGTAAATGATTTTCGAGTCAACTTTTGACAATATGGAGAATAATCTAAAATGGAAAAACTATCAAATTTAATGAAAATTGAACACATTGATGAAGAGTAAACGAAAAAAAACAAAATGTATTGATTAATTGAATCTAATATTTTTTTGCAAACAGTGCTATGAAGAAGAGAAATTCATATACAAAAGTAAACGTAGACGAAGACACTCACATAATACCATAGTGTAAATACAGATAAACCTGATAAATTGCCGTAATTATTCCTATTACAATAGATGATCTTTGTTCACTACCTAACGACTAAATCTAATAAACTACTTTTAGCAAAAAGAGACGACTTCCAGCAACAACAAATAAAAACAATTATATATATATATATATATATATATGAACAATGACAACTAAACACAATCATTATGTATATGATGGATATTTTGGTCGATGAATAACTTCAATATTCATATTATGAAATTGTACTTCATTTTTCAAATATTCGTCCCATAAGATTTTAATCTCTTCTTGAAAATCGTATAGTTCTTCACCATTTAGATCGGACATAATGTAATATATCTGTTCATTTTGTTGTTTTTTTCGTTGTTCAATTTTCACATTTTGCCGTTCTCGATCATAGTCAATAATTTCTTGACGCATTCTATCATAGGTATTTTGATCTAAATGTGATCTCCAATTGGAAAAATGAAAATCTTCAAAGAATTGTTGAACATGTTCTTTAATAAAATCAACTGTATAACCATTCATTATAAAGACTATTTGAATATCACGACGTTCATTTTCAAAATCAGATACTTTGGAACAAACTAATGCTGCACGTATAAGACATGCTTGAATTAATGTTGAATACATTAGAAGTGGATGATCCGATATAAAAGGTAATCCACGTGGTTCAATATCCTGATCATGATTAATGATAGTTCGAAGTTGATTATTGATATGACTTATCTTAACATCAAGATAATTAATTTTTTTTCCAATTGAACTTGTTAAAGATAATCGAGGATTTTTTT